TCTCTCTCTCTCTACCTACCTACCTACCTGCCTGCCTACCTACCTACCTACCTACCTACCTACCTACCTACCTCCTACCCTACCTACCTACCTCCTACCTACCCCTACCTACCTACCTACCTACCTACCTACCTACCTACCTACCTACCTACCTACCTACCTACCTACCTACCTACCAGGTGAGGAGCACAGGGCGGTCCTACCCGGAGGGCCTATTTTTGGGGGTCTTTTTTTTGGTCCGTTAGAAGGAAGCAAGAGCAAGGAAACAAGGAAGGAAGAAAGGAAGAAGAGAAAGGGAAGGAAGGAAGGAAGGAAGGAAGGAAGGAAGGAAGGAAGGAAGGAAGAAGCGAAAACAGGGAAGACAGCAGGAAAGAAAGAAAGGAAGAGAAGGTACTAAGGAAGGCATAGTAGTAGCCTTCCAAACCCATACTGCGAGCATTGCGTTTACAAATGGGGGGGGCTGCGCCCCCCCAAGCGCCCCGCTCTTTTGTGCTTTTAGGCCGGGCGGGCTTGCTTCAAAGCATACGAGTTCCAAACCCAGGCTGCGAGCATTGCGTTTGCAAATGGGGGGGACTGCCCAACCCCCCCGCTCTCCTTTCTTTGTTTAAGCCGGGCAGGCCTGCTTCAAAGCATACGAGTCCCTTCCAAACCCATGTTGCAACAGTTGCGTTTGCAAAAGGGGGATGCTGCGCCCCCCCTACCCCCCGGCTCTTTTTTTTTGCCGGCAGGTTTTGCTTCAACGCATACCAGTCCCTTCCAAACCCATGCTGAAAGCATTGCGTTTGCAAATGGGGGGTCTGCGCCCCCCCCAACCCCCCCGCTCTTCCCAAACCCTCAAAGGAAACCCGGAAACCCCAAACCCTAAATCCTAAAAGGAAACCCTAAGCCCGAAAAGGAAACCCTGAACACTAAAAGGTGAGGGAAAGCCTGAACCCTGAAAGGAAACCCCAAACCCCAAACCGTGAACCGGAAAAGGAAACCCTAAAACCTAAAAGGTAAGAGAACGCCTAAACCCTAAAAGGAAATCCTCACCCCTAAAAGGCAACCCTGAACCCCTAAACCCTAAAAGGACCCTAAAGGGAAAGCCTAAACCTTAAAACGAAACCCTAAACCCTGAAAGTTGGGTGGCTATATACCAGTTTACAGTTGTGTATGCATGTTGGGATTGTGGTTCCCCCTTTGGCAGGTCAAGGTAGCATATGCCGGCATCGGTGACATCTACTACGCGACCTGGGAGTACGGGGGGCATAGAATGTGGTAGGTGGTAGAATCCCTTTAAGCAGCAAGTGCTCCCGGGTACACGCCTCAACCAGCATGGTATTCCCGACCCGCAGCGGAAAGGAAAAGAGGTGATTAAAAAAAAAGAAAGGTAAGAGAAGCCCTAAACCCTCAGAGGAAACCCTAAACCCTAAAAGGTGAGGGAAAGCTTAAACCCTAAAAGGAAACCCTAGCCTAAACCGTAAAATGTAAGAGAAACCCTAACGTTTTTGTTGATCTCTTCCGCCTCATTTCCTATGGTATTTACTACAGTATAGTAATTTATTTTTTGTTGATCATTAATTGTTTGATCCTCTGGTTCAATTTGTTTATCCTTATTTAATTTTTGTTTGATCCCTCACCCCAACAACAGCAACAACAACAACAAAACACCACCACCAACAACAACAACAACAGCAACAGCAACAGCAACAGCAGCAGCAGCAGCAGCAACAACACCACCAACAGCAGCAACAACAACAACAACATCAACAACAACAACACAACAACAACAGCAGCAACAACAACAACAGCAACAGCGTAACAACAACAACAACAACAACAACAACGCTCCAACGTCGCGTAAACG